TCGAACCGCGTAAAAACAGTAATTGGGACATTTAAGAGCTTACCGTGTATTTAAAAAATGGATCAAGTGCAATTTTGAGTTAGGAACTTATCAGAATTACATAGGTGGCACATATGCACCTCCAACAAGCCATCTGGTAGTTCTCAATCTTTGAAGGTGCTATCAAATTAAGGCTGTTACGAGTTATCTATCGGCCACTCGCAGGCCCTGACGTTCTTTAGTCCATCATTATGATACTTAGAATGTAAGTTTTGGGTATCAATTGGGTTAAGGTATTGGAGGTGCTCCTTTGACTAAGCATGACTGGGAGTTGTTTCCTAAGCTGGACCCATCTAAGCTATCTAAGTCCAGTGCTGTATTTATCATGGTTGTGTTGTTTAGTATACGCAAACGATTGAGGCCATTCAAAGTAGTGGAACCGCCGCCTCCGCCTCCAATACCGTTAGAAGCTGTGAAACTTGAATCAACGCTTTCGTGTGCAACAAATGACGCACTAACTGGATCGTCCAAGTCCAGATCGTCATTTAATAATGCGGACGAAATCATTGCACTGGTTGGTTTAATACTTTGTTGTGCTATTTGTATTTGTTTGTGCTGTTGTTGGCTCATTTGCAATGACAATTTATGCTGTTTCTGCTCATCCATAAGGTTTGAGTACACATGTAAACTGGTGTNCTATTGTCAATATGGATGTTGGTGCTCATCGATCCACTTTCTGCGTGAAATAAGTTACTATAGCTGCCTGAGCGATTTTGGCGTTCTCGAGCCAGACTTGTAGCAGCGATTGCTGCGACAGCAGCTACAACCTCAGTTTTGCCAACTATCTCGACAACATCTTCGCCGTTGCAGGCGTTCGAATCAACAAAATTACTGATGACATTGTCACCTTCCGGAGGATTCGAGATTGTGTTCGATTGGGCACCACGATCTTTATGGTGTCGAAATTGACGTTGCATCTGTGCTGTTTGTGTTTGCGGTATTATGTCCATTTGGGAGAGGGGAATTTCGTTGTCAACTAAGTGCGCAAGACTATTGGAGTTTCCTGTAAAACATTTGTTGAGCAAATATGATAATAATATATTAATATAATAATATGTATGTGCATGCAAATATGTTATGTA